GGCTCACATGCGGCCCCCTCCCAGACGCCTTCCTCCGACTTCTGGAAAGAGCTGCAGCTTGCGCTGCCCAGGAGGGTGCAGTACGGAGCCATGGAGGGGGACCCACAAACCCAGATGCAGGATGACAAGGACCCCATGCTGATTGTGCGGGGCCACGCCCGGGAGGGGCGGTCGGCCCTGGGCCCCGAGCTGGACCCTGACCCGGAGGGAGACCTGGGTAGGAGCCCTGGGAGGCCCCTGGGAGAGGGAGGGCAGCAGGGGGGCCCCCAACCTGCGCCTGGGGACAGCCGGACCCCCACCACTGCCAACCGGCCAGCCTCAGGCTTTGCCTCCTGCTCCCAGGTGTGCGAGGGCCCGTCTTTGGGGGGCCGGCAGCGCCTCTCCAGGTCAGCGCAGTGTCGCTGGGAGAGGGCCGGGGCAGCGAGACGGACGTGTCGGACCTGGGCTCCCGGAACTACGGCGCCCGCACAGACTTCTACTGCCTGGTGTCCAAGGACGATGTGTAGGGGACAGCTGGGGGGGGGGGGCGGGGCCCTCACCCCTTCTTGTGCCAGGAAATAAATTTCTTTTGGCTCCTGCCCAGGCTTTGGCCTCCTCTCCTGGGGCAGGAAGGAGGTGCCGTGTCCGCGGCCCACCCTCGGGCCTTGTTTCCACCGCGGGCTCTCGGTGCTCTGGCCATGGGCACACCTGCTCTCTCCGGCTCAGCGGGCCCTGCCCAGGGCCTGTTGGGGCTATGAACCCTGCACCCCACTCAGGTCCAGACAGATGAGGGAGGCAGGTCCCTCAGAGAAACTGTGGGCTCCATGCTTTGTCAAAGGGTCTTTGTCGCAAGAATATCAGGGTGGGGCCTCCCTGGGGTGCAGGGGTGACCCTCAGCGCTCTGAAGCTATGTGTGGCCTGAGTCCATCCCCGGCCAGGGCGCAGCAGACCTCACCTGCCCCCCGCGGCCCCCTCAGCAGTGTGTCTCAGTGGAGCCACCTGCCCTGCTCCCCAGTCTGTGTCTGGGGAGTTCCCTCACCCTCGCACCTCTGACCTGCACTCCAGCGCTTATGTGCATTAATAAATACAATAAATCTTTTTTTAAAAAAAACAATACCGGGGTGGTACCCAGCCTGACGGCGAGACGGGCCACAGCGCAGGGCCCAGGCACGGGGAGGGCGGAGGTTTGGGCGTGTTTGCAGGGCGCTGCCCGGGAGGCGCAGCCCAGCCAGGTGCCACGTCCCCGCTCAGGGGCCCACCACCTGGCTCGGCTGCGCCCCACTCTGCCGGCTCCCCTGCGGGACCTTCCCACCCTCTGGCCCGTGCCTCAGAGCTGGCCGTGGCGGCACTCGGGCACCCCAAGCTCTGGGCTGAGGCTGGCTGCCCACCGGAGCAGCACTCGGGAGTCCCCGCCACGCGTTCACAGCACTTTATTTCCAGCGCCGGCCACCCAAGGCCCTGCCCAGCCTCGCCATCCGCACCTCTGCCAGTGTGGCCTGGTCACCACCTCATGTGCCAGAGCAGCCTCAAGCCCTGTCCCGCCCCCTGCCCTGCAGAAGCCAAGTCCCCAGCTGCAAGCCCCTGCCCCCTCCCTGGTGGCCCGGGCCCTCGAAGACGGGCAGGGCTCCAGCGACAGGCCCCGCCCTGAGCCTCCCTTCCTGGCCGGCCGTCCATCCTCGAGGCCGGGCCCCGCCGACTCCTCCTGCGGGAAGGCCTATGGGCCCAGGAAGTCCTCCTTGCGGTAGCCCTTCTGCAGTGGACAGAGGGCAGAGTCAGGGCGCCGGCCCATTGCCGGCCGCCCCGCCCAGGCCCTGGCCTCCCGGTGGGCTGGGCTCGGCCAGTGCCGGCTCTGTGCGCCGGGACCTACCGCGCGAAAGTCTCGGTGCAGCTTGTTGTACTGCCACAGGTTGGTCAGGAGGCTGGAGGCGGCCCTGGAGGACTTCTCGCTGTCGGGGCTGCAGGGGGCAGGGGTCAGTGGGACGGGCACGGCCAGCAAGCAGCTGGCTGGGGCGCCGGGGTGGGCGAGTGCTCACCTGTCCCGCTTCTTCTTGATGAAGACCAGCTTGCGGAGCCCGTCGAAGTAGAGCAGGTCCCGGGCGGCCACGGGGCTGGCCACCACCAGATTGTTGAGCACCGCGATGATGTTCACCAGCACGTCGGCCGGCGGGCACTTCTCACCCACGCTGCCCGGCAGCTTCTCGATCAGGTGGCTCACCACCTTGGTGGCTGCGGGGGTCGGGCCAGAGACAACCCCAGTCAGGGGCCGCCCACGGGGCTTCTCCGCCCGAAGCAGCCCCACAGCGCAGACAGAGCCCGGGTGGGAACCCACCGCCGGCTGCGGCTGGACTCACACATCTCGTCCTTGTTCCTGGCGTTCCGAGACAGGTTCCGGATGAGGCCGGTCAGCGATCGCAGCTGGTGGTGGTCGGCGGTCCGGACGCGGTCCAGCAGTGGGTTTAGGATGCGCTCCTGCTCCAGAGCCAGGCGGCTCAGCACGCCCGCCCACTGCAGAGGGCGGGGCAGGGCTGGTCAGCGGTCCCCTCCCCCGTTCAGGCTTGGCCGCATGGAGCGTCGAGGCTGGCCGGCCACTCCTGAGGAGCCCCCTCTTCTGCCTTTGCGTCCGGTGGGACGGCGCCCAGCAGTCCTGGCCCTCTGCCAGCACCTCAGCTGGCCCGCCGTTCGAGTCATTCAACGATCAGGACCACCCAAAGGGAGCCCCTCCAGCCGGGCCCGGACCCGCCCGCCGGCCC